AACCTGACAGATGGTCAGTGTCCAGCGAATGAATGGACAGCTAAGCTAGGAAGTGAGGGTCCCACTGACCATGACTGACAAGACTGACCATGAAACCCAATAGTTCCGACAATAGCAAGGTTCTATCCAGTATTAATGCATTTTAAAATCAAACATTTGTATAGTCTCCCTTCTCTTTGCTCTAATTTCATGACATATCTAAATACTAAAATTACTCATAAAAAGAGAAAGTCTATTTAAGTTTAAAAAGGATAAGTGGATAACCGGGTCTAGAGGTGGGAATGGAGAGTGACTGCAGATGGGCGCGAAGTTTCTTTGGAGGTGGTAGAAATGTTCTCATATTAGATTGTGGTATAAATTGTGTTCTATAAATTTGTAAAAACCATTGAATTGTACATTTAAAATGTGTGAAAATTATGATATATGAATTATTCCTCAATAAAGCTTTTTTTTTAAGATTTAAAAAATTTTTTCCTTTTTCTCCCCAAAGCCCCCTGGGTACATAGTTATGTCTTTTTAGTTGTGGGTCCCTCTAGTTGTGGAATTTGGGATGCCACCTCAGCATGGCTTGATGAGCAGTGCCATGTCTGCGCCCAGCGTTGGAACTGGTGAAACCCTGAGCCACCGAAGTGGAGCACGCAAACTTAACCACTTGGCCACGGGGCTGGCTCCTATAAAGCTGTTTAAAAAAAAAAAAAAATGATATAAATCCCAGAACTCTAGAGTAGCCAAAAAGTTAGTGTTGAAAAATCTGCCAGGGGCTGGCCCCATGGCCGAGTGTTAAGTTCATGCGCTCTGCTGCAGGTGGCCCAGTGTTTCGTCGGTTCGAATCCTGGGCGCGGACATGGCACTGCTCATCAAACCACGCTGAGGCAGCGTCCCACATGCCACAACTAGAAGGAACCACAACGAAAAATGTACAACTATGTACCGGGGGACTTTGGGGAGAAAAAGGAAAACAATAAAATCTTTAAAAAAAAAAAGAAAAAGAAAAATCTGCCAAAAACTTTAATTAGTGAGTCAAAGATTAACTGCTGGCATTTCCTGAATTTCCCCCATGATAGTGAAAGAAATGATGTTTCATCTCAAATCAAGCACAGGGAAACTCTACAAGGTATGTATTATTATCCTCATTTCACAGGGGAGGAAATTGAGACTCAGAAAGTTAAATTAGCTTGCCCGAGATCCACAACCAACAAGAACTGGCAACAGTGTCAAACCCAATACTGCTTGGCCCCAAAAGCCATGGCGGCTCTCCCACCTACATCATGCCCCCTTTCTCTGGCATGAGAAGAAGCCCTTCCATTGTTCGACTTGAGATCACTTTCCTTCTCCCAGGACAACAGTAAACTGATTTTCTAATGTTTCCATCGGCGTTTTGTATTTTGTACTCAAGAAGATTCATGAAAAGCATGAGGCTGGAATCTGTTTTCAATATTGAATAAGAAAGAAAAAGGAGTCTGGGCCTTATGTTAATGGAAAGATACGGGTTTCTTTCTTTTGATGTTCAATAGGGTACATTATTTTATAGCTTTTAAAATGACATATATATATATGAAGAGACTTGGAGCAATGGTTTCCCTTTTTTTCCCAACTTAGTTGGTTCATTGGAGACTCCAAGATGTGACTTGTAATGGTGTCTGCTTAGGAATTTTTGAGAGACTAGCCACTGTGCTGCCTCTTGCACGTGGCTTAACAGCCCAGGTTTGGCTCAGTTGATACATTGGTTAGCTCGCTCCTTGCCTAATTTATGAAATGGAATTCTGGAAAATGAAAAGCTGGTGAGATTGCAGTTTCCAACTTTGACCAGAATTAGTAACCTTTACGTCTTCAGTTCTGTCCTCTTAGCATCCAGCATTATTTTCTTCTTGCTATTTCCCTGTTTATGATCATAAATGTTTAACCAGATCCTGGAAAATCCTGCTGCAAACCTCCAGTCTTACTTACCAAGTCTGCTATAGCCCCTTCCCTTCCTGATCTTTCTTCTTGTCCAGCCCAGCAGTCTCCTCTTGCCTCTCTGGCTCTCTTGCTCTTCTCTCTGTGCCTTTGTAAATATCCTGGATCCTTTTCTTTTCCTTTTTCCTTCTTTTCTCCTGGGATATGTCTATACTCTCTTTTAACCAATTGAAGCAAACTAAAAATAAATAAAAACAAGAAAACAATTCTGTGCCAAGCCAGCAGAATATGTCTATGGACCAAATTTGGGCTCTTGATGTTGGACCTCTGCTTTCCCTAGGACCGAGAGAGACAACAGCAATCATTTCCATATTCAAAGAAATGTAGATGTCATTGAAAAAAACCCAGAGTAAGCATTGTGGTGATATAAGGCTGTAATTATGAAGATGGATATCACAGTGCTTTATTTTTCTCTCTACCAGTATTCTTAGAAATAGAGAAGTAAACAGAAGCTTCTGCTTTTACATATTGGGCAATACTAGAGCTTTTAAGTGATTTTGAAATTCTTACAACCTTGTTCACATTTCAAATAAAATTCATTTGCAGGAGTCCTTCAGTCATTTTTTGTGCGCTCAGAGATGACTGAATGCCAGGATTTGAAAAGTCATTAAGGTAGTTTCAGGAAATTAGCCATCTCCTAGTGTCAACAGTAGATTGTGGATTTTAGCTGTTTGACTCACTGCTCCAGAGGGCAACCTGCTTTCTTGTGAATTGTAATCATTAGCCTTCCTCAGCACGTGTTTCCAAAACAAGGCAAGTGCCTCCTTCCATGATCACTTTAGGGTCCCGACATCTTCACGCAGCGAGTCCACCACCTTAAAATGATTACTGTACATATCGCATTTCAGCAAAGTATCACCTAGAACTAACTCAAAACTGTTTTCATATATATTTTAGAAACGTTATTTCTTTTCTCTCTTACTCTGGATTTTATGTACGGTACCATAATTTGGACCAAAGATGTGTTCTGAGAGAACTCTCTGTTTCGAAGGATTTCAATGTAGCTCTTTTTTAAAGCAATGAATGCATCTATAAAATGGTCACCCTGTATTTATCCATTTTGTAGGTCCAGATTTTTGCCCGGTAGATTTGCACAGAGGAATTTGGTTATAATTTGATTAACAAATGTATTTCCTCTGTAAAGAGTACTTTCAAAAGTGCTGCATAAAAGGCGTAGACTTGGACACGTTGCAGTTATCAAACTTAGAGTGTAATTATTTTGCAATATATAAGTGTTTCAAATCAACACATTTACACAATGTTATATGTCAGGTATATCTCAACAAGCTGGGAAAAAAAAACTTACAATGTTTTCTATGCAGTAAATACTATAAGAAAAATGGATACATTTTAAGATGGGCTTTTGGCCATATATATGTTATAATTGAGTTGAAAAAGGATTAGAATCTCAATTCATTTTTTAAAATTTAATGTAGAAATGTCAGCACTAGAAAACGGGGGTGAGAATGGCTGTTTATTATGTGCCTACTATGTGCCAGATCCTGGAGTAAATATTTTATTATCAAGCGCAGCTCAGTGTAGGGTTTGAAACTGCTGGCTGTAAGGCCGGAGTATGGAAGTTTGAATCCCAGCTTCCCACTGCCGTAAGGATTCAGTGAGATAAGGTGTGCAAAGCACCTGGTCCCATGCTGGTGCTATAGTGAGGGCTCAATAGATGCTAGCTGTTCCTTATGTCTTATGTCATTTAATCCTGTGAAGCAGACAATGTCACATTGTACAGATGAGAAGACTGAGGCTTGGAATGGTCTAGTAACTTGTGTAAAGTTTTCAAAAGTGAGTTTTGGAGGCAGAATTTAGAACCAGGGTTCTACTGGGTACCCTGATAAAACCTCTAACTAGGAGTTAATTGTTCTAGACTGCCAGGAAAATCTGTGCTAGGATGTTTTATGGTGGGAGAGATCACCCCAGCTAGAATGATACCCTTCACTGAGAGGCAGAGCTACCCTTACAGGCAGCAAATTCACGGATAATGTATAAGCAAACAGACCCTAACATTTCTAAGTTTAGAAAAACTTCCGAAGGGCCCATTTCAGCAGACAGCCAGTCTTAGAGTTCTTTTTTTTGTGATGGATAGCAAATTCTCAGCTATATGGATAGGTCTATGCTTTTCAAAACCTGTGCATGATTTATGAAACATGCCTATCGATACTTCTGCTGTGTAAATATCATCATCTATGCAAATATCAGCTTCTAATGCCAGCTTAAGGAATTTGTAAGGATGATGTTCCTTTAGCAACCAGAAGGCAAACTTCCAGGGTTGGGTTCTTTTGTTTATTTGTTTGTTTTTTATTTTCATCTCTTCTTATGGAGTGAGCACCAAGAGATGAGGGGCACCCCCAGTCCCTTGGCCGTATTACTCAGGCTGGATTTCAGTGTTATTCAAATAGCCATTCTAGGCATGGGCTTCATTTGAGGACATCCTTGTTTTCATCCTCAAGGTTCATGGCTTGGTGGCCATGGTGACCAAGTGTGGCTGCTGCAGGATGATTGAAGCTTTAATAGTGAAAGAGTTCAATGGTGTCAACATTGGAACTGGAAAATCAGTTTACTATTGCAGGCTTCTGCTTTGCTGTGTTAAAATCTTAGACAAATCGATCATCTGTAACCCAAGATACAGATAGGATTTAGCTCTTGTAATAGGCTGAGTCTCTTTTTCGTTTAGATGTATGTATAGAAGAGAGAATGAAATGAAACTCCAGTTCCACAAAAGAATATGGGCTTAATATAAAGATAGCACAAAACAAGAAGAATTGGGGCTGAATATCACATAATTTTCATTGCAGTTTACTTCCTAGCACTTAATCTAGTCAAAATATTTTCCTTCACAACATTGCTACCTTCCGAATTACTCAGACGCTTAACTATATTCTGCCGTCTAAATTTGTATCTGCAAAAAGGCACAGACCGTATGCATCAAGTTCTATGCAAATGAAAAGAACTCTCTCCAGGATGCTGTAATGGATGTGACACTCTAAGAAGCTCCACATCACCTCATTTAAACTACTCCGGGTTTTCCTTTCCAGGGTTCAGCGGATTCCTACACAAGCAGGCCGTCTGACTCTGATGTCTCTTTGGAAGAGGATCGGGAAGCGATTCGGCAGGAGAGAGAGCAGCAAGCCGCTATCCAGCTTGAGAGAGCAAAGGTGACTGTCTTGTTCCTCTTTGGTTCCAAAGTGGCATGTTGCTCAGCAGGTATCAGCTACTCTTCCCCTGCCTCAGATTTCTCTGGAATAATCATTTTATGATCACCCTGATCAGGTACCACATTGCAAGCTTCCCTGATCCTTTGAACCTAAGAGAGGTTAGTAGCATTCCCAGGGTGCCATTTCCTGAGACACTGACCCTTCGTCCTTTCGTGTTTGATTTGGTGGTGAAAATTATTGGTCATCTCCCAACTTAGCCATTGTGGCCAGTAGCAAGCTTGTCACTCCCGATGTTGGCAGAGAGCCTTCTGAGGTCCTGGCTCTCCACCTGGTCTCCATGACATCAGCCTACCTTACAGGCCACACGTGCACTAGTGTTCTGTGGGTCTCCACATTGGTCTCTCTGCTCTTCCTTCTTGGTTTTAATCTGCCTTCCCAGATTCAGCGTGAAGTTCAGAACTTGAACAACTATTAGCATTTCAGCAAAGATGAGCAATAAGAGGCATTGCCAAAATGGACCTTCGCATGCTCCACAGGGAGAGGCCCGCATCGGCGTGTCTGCACCCACAGGAGGCAAGAAGGAACAAACTGCATTTTTGAGTGTTAGAACCAGAAGAGTCACTAGAGACCTCCTATTCGGTGTCTTTCCTACCGTTTTTTTTTTTTTAAGCACAGACCCTTTTGTCAAATGAAAGTGTATGCAAATATAAAACAGGGTTCATGTCCGCCTCTCCATGGCAGACTCCTAAGGCACATTGATCTAATCTTTCTAATTTTTGGAAGAAAAACCGAAGCTCAGACCAAGAGAATTCCTTCTCTTTTCTATTTTTCCAGTAAAATCTTTAAAAAAGCAGTAAGAGGAGAATGTTGCAGGTGGTGAGGTGTCTGCCTTTGCTCTGGCACCCGCCGTCTCTGTGCTTGGCTGGCGGAAGGGGTGTTGGGGCAGTGCCTGTGAAGGGACATCAATGAGACTCTTAACTCGGGTCCTTCCTCAACTGTTGCTCCCCTGTCAGTTCCCAGCATGAGTAAGTGAGCCAACAGCAAAGCAACCCAGGACTGCAGGAACCTCATATGCTCATTTGTGGCTGATTTTTGTTTTAGTTTTCTTTCAGAGTCTGTTTTGTGGCCACTGTGGTCACCCAGATGTCACTGGCAACCCTATTAGCTTAGGCTGGTGATTTGCTTAGCTGCCGAAAGGCTGTGTCAGCCCAAGAGCACTTTCTGGGGAGGAATTTGTCCAACAAGAGTTTCAGACCCAGCTTTTGCTCGATCGAGAGAAGGTGATGTGTGAGCAGCCCCACCCTTCTTGTCTACCCCTGACTGACCTTTCTTTTCTCTGGCAGGACAACGTATTCTGTTGAGGGGGATTCCACACAATTTAAGATCTTCAGCTATTTCAAAAATATTTATTTTACTCCTCCACTACCTTTTTGTTTAAGACCCAGCACACATTTCCTGTATCCCAAGGGTGGGGATGTCTGTTATCATTTAGAATAACATAAGTTTTATAACTAGAGGACAAAGCAGGCTGCCCTTCCTTGCCTTTCTATCCCTCCTAATACTTTAGGGCATGGTGCTTTGGGTGGTTGGAAGATACCACAGGAGGGGGAAATGGTTGGGCTGCTAGGAATGAATCATTTTCAGAGTCATCTCTGTAGCTTTCTCAATGCTGCCTGGGAATGTGAAACCCATTAGAGATCCCTCTTTGGAAAGTGATTTCCTGTACTGCCTGGTACTGTCAATTATCTTATTGTACTTTTCAATATGAAAAGTCCTCCTCTGTTTTCTTCCTCCATCCTTATCCTGTGGTTCTGTCTCCAGTCCAAACCTGTAGCATTTGCTGTGAAGACGAACGTGAGCTACTGTGGGGCCTTGGACGAGGATGTGCCTGTTCCAAGCACGGCCATCTCCTTTGATGCCAAGGACTTTCTACACATTAAAGAGGTAAATGTAGGACACTCTGCGTCCCTTAACCTGCCACAAGGCCAGAGCCAGGAATCAGCTCTGAGCCAAACTAAATGGAGAGGAGCCTTGAGGAGCTGCCAATAAGTTACCTCATTTAATTTGCTGGGCTTTCCAAATGCATTCATCCTCACCGAGGTTTAGATGCCTGAGATCATCGCTTGCATTATTCCACATTTAAAACATCGGATCACCATCATCATAGGATGGATTTAAGATAGACCTGTGGTCCTCTGGTCACCTTTTCATCACCTTGCATGACTGCAGAGCCGTAGACAGATGGATCCAACTTAGGGAAACATGAGTTTGGTGGCAGGGCACCTACCCATGAGGGACCATTTATAAGGGATGTTGTAATTATAACCATCTGGGCTATAATCCTGTGGACCTTGACCTTGGAACCAACACTAGAGAGTAGAATAATTAAAGTATTAAATCTAAAAAGAGGGCGGAAGACTTTGGGAAACAGAAAGCTTAAGGAATTGAGCAGTACAAGGAGGACATGAGGCCTCGCAACTCAAAAGGTGGAATAGTGACATCAGAAACTTTCATTTACTCAACCTAGGTATGTTGAAATCCTACTTCATGTCAGACATTGTGCTGGGCACTGGGGAATCCGAGATGAAGGCTGGCTGTCCCCGCTGCCAGGGAGCTCCAGGTCTGGTAGAAGAGAATGACAAGTACATAGCTTCTGCGTGGGATCACAAGTTCTATTACAGTCAAATTGAATGGGTGTTGTAGGAGCCCAAAGAAAGAGCAGGAGGGACCACCTGGCTGGAGAGGAGGAGGATCAGGGGGCCAGAAAACTCTACAGAAGTGGCGAAGCCTGAGGGATTCAGGCTGGATGGGGGGTGAGGGTGGCATGAGGTGGAAGGGACAGCCAGGAGCAATGCAGCATGGCTGGAAGGAGGTAAGTAGGGAGTGGTCCAGGGGATGGGCCAAGTCAGAGAAACAGGGGCCTGATAAAAAAAGAACATCTTAGGCCATGGCAAGAATCCTAGACTTTATCATCAGGCCGTGGGCTGGAGAGGAATTTTAAATGAAGGACAGATGGACCAGCCTTGTATCTTAGCATGACCACTCTGATGGTTGAGAGAGTACTGCAGAGGCTGGGGAGATGTGGTGAGGCTGGACAGTGGCTGTGGCAGAGAGGATGGAGAGAGGGAGCAGCTTTGAGAGAGGGTTAAGGGGCAAATAGAGAGGATTGGGAGATTTCACATAGGCAAGGGATATTGGAGAAAGTGAGACAGAGATAAGTGAAGGATGGAGGCCCGTTTTTCCAGCTTACTTGAAAGGGTAGAAGGTGGTGTCAGCTGTCAAAATAAAGAAGGCAGAGAGGGGAGAAGACTTGTTGCAGGGGTGATCGTGGTTACAAATTTGCTTTCAAGTACATTGTGTCTGGGGCCCTGTGAAACTCCCATGAAGATACTTAATAGGCCTTTACCCACATAATCTGGAGGCCAGAGGAGAGGAATTGCAATTTGTTCTTCCTAAATGTTTTGAGTTGAAAAGGAGAATGGGTGCTAGTCAGGAGAAGATAGCATAGAGTTGAGGGACTGTTTTAAAAATTTGCTTTCCTTTTTTTGTTTTTAGGATGGGAAAGATTTAAGCATGCTTTCCCTGCTGAGATGATGAACCCAGTGAAATATATTGAAAGGAAAAGTCATAGCTGACAGAGTGAGGGGCTGGAGGAGAGGAAAGGAGATGACATCTGGAAGATGGGTACAAGAATTAGGATGAGTCAGGAGGAAAGTCTCGCCTTCCTTGAACTTCCTGTTCTGCACAGAATTTTCTGATGGGGTTGGGAGCCTACAGTGGAGGACGTGCCTACTTGATGGTCTCCATTGGCTCTGCTAGGGAGGAGGCATTGGAAATTGAACCTTAGGAAAAGGAGACTGTAAAGGTAGGACAGTAAAGTGAAACCCGAGACTGGAGGAGCCTGAGGAATGCGATCACGTAATGTCACTGAGACACCCGCTCTTACTTCCCAGTCTAACACAAGATGTGCATGGTAAATATATAACAATTTTTGAAATCATTGTCTTGGAAACTCTGCATTCTACAATGCGTTAGTGACATCAAGACATATATATATATTTAAGATTTTACTTATTTGATACCAAGTAGGTCAAACATCTGGATGTCTACAGATGTCTCACTGTCTTTGCATTGTGCCCATGTGACCTGGGTGAGGTTCTACATTTGTTTAGTCACTCATTTACGACAGAGTTCTTGAGCACTTAGTATGTGCTAGGCCTTGGTAGATGTTGTCTGACAGCTATAAACAAAGCAGACAGAGTCCTTTCCCTCATGGACTTAAATTCTAGTGGGAAGACAGATAATATGAAAAAATAAATAATTCCAAACTGTGACTTCTTGGGGAAAAAATGAAGCAGATGCTGAAATTTTTTAAATATAGGCATGAAGGAGTTATATACTTTTAAATATAGGGGTGATCAGAGAAGGCCTTTCTGAGATGTGACCTTTAAGTAGGGACCTGAAGGATCAGGAGGAGCCACCCTTAAAAAGAGCAAGGGATGTCTTCTAGGGAGTGGAAACAGCATGTACAAAGGCCCTGAGGTAGAAAAATAGCCTGGCACAATTAATTAACTGGAAGAAGGCCATATGGCTGGAATGAGTGAGCCAGGGACCTAGTAGGAGGAGACAGAGTTGTAGAAGTAAGCAGGGTACAGGTCAAGTAGGACCTTAAGGTGATGGCAAGACTTAGATTTTATTCTAAATGTAATAAGAAGCTGCTGAAGACTTTAAAAGCAGAGGAGTGGGATGAATTTATTTTTTTTTAAAGCCTACTCTGTTGTGGAGACAATGGATTGGAGTGGGATAAGTATGGAATCAGGAAGACCAATAGAACCATTCTAGGTGAGAGATAATGGGATTGAGCCAGCATAGTGGCAGTGAGATGGAGAGAAGTAGACAAATTTGAGATATATTGTGGAAATTCAGTGAAGAGCACTGGTGATGTACTAGGTGTAGGAACTAAGATTGGGGGAGAAATCAAGGATGATTAGGGAAATTGAGGTTTAAAAATTGAGCAACTGGGATGGAGATGACTAGGGTCAGGAGAGGACAGATAGGGAGGAAGGTTAGGGAGTGGACATCTCAAAGGAGATATGAAGTAGGAAGTTAGGCAGAAGAATCTGGAGCTCAGAGGAAAGGGTTGGGCCAAAATAAAAATTTGGATCATTAGTTTATATGTGGCATTTAAAGTCGTGGTAATGAAAGAAGTCACCTAAAGAGAGAGTATGGGAAGGAGAGAAGGCAGCCCTGGATCAAACCCAAAGGAATTCCATCCTGTAGAGGAGAGTACATGAAAAGATGAAACAAGTAAGGAAACTGAACAGGAGAAGCCTGAGATATAAGAGGAAAATCAGGACAGAGCAATGAATGGACATCGAGAGATAAGGGTGTGTCCAAAGAGAGGAGGCAGTCAGCTGCAGTGAATGTTGTGACCTGTCACCTAAGATGAGGACTGAGGAATGCATGTTGGTTGGGTTAGCAACATGGTGGTCAGCAGCATGGAAGTCATTGGGACCGTTGTGTGGAATTGTGGAGATGGAAGCCAAATGATGTGGGGTGAGGAGATGGGGAGTTGGGAAGTATATTTAGCAAATGTAGACCATGCTTTCAAGGAAGTTGACACTGACCAGGTGGTAGACTGAGGAGAGTATGAAGTCAAAGAGGTTTTCTTTCAAGATGGGAGGTATTGGAGCACCTGTACATGCTGATATTAACAAACTGTGAGAGACGGAGAGATTGATGGGAAAGGAGAGAGAGGCAGAGGAGTAAAGTTTCTGAGTAGGCAAGAAGGGTGGGTCCAGACCTCGAGTGGAGGGGCAAACCTTTGATAGGAAGCAGGACACTTATTCATTGTAACCTGCAGGAAAAAGATGAGTGCAGGCATGGACAGGCCAGAGCCTTGGAAACGGGAAGCTCAGGAAGCATCGACTTGATGGCTTCCACTTTCTCAATGGTGTATAGAGTGAGGATACCCACATTTGCCTAGAAGACAAGGACCCTCAACCTGAAACATGTACCCCAGCATCTGAATCTAAGTTGATTTTGTCTCACCATTCCCATCAAAAATGACCGAACCGGGGATGGCCTGGTGGCATAGTGGTTAAGTTCACATGGTCCACTTCAGCGGCCCGGTGTTTGCAGATTCAGAGCCCTGGCATGGACCTAGCCACGCCGTGGTCGCATCCGACATCAAACAGAGGAAGATTGGCACAGATGTTAGCTCAGAGATAATCTTCCTCAAGCAAAAAGAGGAAGATAGGCAACAGATATTGGCTCAGGGCCAGTCTTCCTCACTCACACACACACACACACACACACACACACAAAATGACCAAACCATATTCAGTGGTTCCTACCACCCATCCTTTCCGAGGAGAAGCAGCGCTGTAAAAGGTAAGAGAAGTTCTCACATGTTCCATGCGCACTCGCTCACACCAACATTCCAACCTTACTGTACTTAATGGTTTCCTCCATTCCATCAATATTGCCAGTTTGTCCTGTGGGTTGCTTTTTGATCTCTATGCTCCCTGATCAGCGACTTTCTCTTCAGTCTGGCAGTTTGATGTGTGGAATTGAGCTGGTAATCCTGTGTGGATTAGAGCCACTCGTTTTCAGATCTTGAAATACCAGATAAGAAAACATCTTAGAAAGAGAAAGCACTAATCATTTTAGGGAAATCAAAATGAGAAGGATTGGAACCAACGCTAAGGTGACCTTGCCAGAAAGCTGGCAAATGTTCCTGGAGCATCAACACAAATGAACACGTTTCTATAACCAAGTTGTAGCCTTTCCTCTTGTCCATCACCTAGAGGACCATCCATTATGAACTGTTTTAAGTACTTTCTCAGTAGTGAAAAGCTTAAACGCCTAGAAAAGCTACAGCTCTTCTTATCACATACATCCAGTGATGAGCGCATTAAGCTCTTGAATGTACGTAAAAATTTTCTCCCAAGCAGCTCAAAGAACTTTCATTTACATTGAGTCAGATTCTCACTGCTTTAGCTGTTTCCTAGAACCAAGTTAAAATATTGAGAAGTTTCATTGAGCATTTCAGGAAGCCCTTTAAGGTCACTTGGGTATCGTTTAAAAAATTAGTGTTCCAGTGGGCTAACTTAATTTCAGGAAATAACTTAAGCCCTAGGAAACTATGACTCATAGTCTGTTTTGTCCCCACCACAGTAAAATTTAAACTCCAGACATACGCACCAAAGATTCTAAAAGGGTCCCCTTGCCTTTGTTAATTCCAAAATAAACAGGCCTGTTATTTCAGGCCTGTTATCCTGAAACAAAAGATGGGAAAATGGGAGAAACCAAGACCTCGATTGTTCAAGATTTTATGTTGTCGACTCACATCTCTTCAGTGCAGTCTCATACTACATGCCATGCGTGCCTTGTGTAGCAGCAGCTGTGTGTTTAATAAAAGCCAAATCCCTAAACCGTGTCCTTTTGCTTTTGAGTGTGAGGCTGTTACTCAGAATTACTCAAAGTTCTGCAGAATTTTATGCTGCAATGATTCAACGAAACCATCCATTCCTCCTCCGCAATGTGTCAGTGTCACGTGTACAGATAAATCCACTTTCCTCTGAGCTAAGCAAAGTGTACTACGTACAATTGTGACATTTCCAAAAAAATAGGTACTTTTTGGATTGAAGAGAGAGAGTTATCTTGTGCAACACTGATAAAGACAATAAAGGAAGTTTTTGGAATCATCTCTGGAGGATGTAAAAAGAAGACTGATACCTGCTTTCTAGAAATCCCCTAGCTGAACCCTTCCAGGAGGCAGGTGGCTTGGATTAAATGTGCCTTCTTCCCTAGGATTCAGCAAACCTGTAAATACAAATGCAGTTTTGCTGACCTATTGAATAGGAACATGTTCACAGAGACTCTGTCCGTGTTGCCTAAAGCCTTTGTGTGGGTTTCTTTCCCGAGTTTGCATGTTGTGGAACTTTATTTAAATGGAAATCCCGTGTTCCCTTTGGGCTTCAGGCTATTTGGAGATTATTTCAAAAATTCCACACCTATATAAAATACTTAGCCTGTAAGAGTAGGCTTCTTTTTCTTCAGTAGTAAGATAGACCTTAATTTGCAAACCTATATTTGGAAGATTTCAATTCTTTCCCAATGAGAGTAGATTACTGACAGTCCTGTGGAATTTTTACCTGAAAGCTTTTGACAAATGACAGACTACTAAATGTCTTTCATCTCAGATTTGTCTCTCTTGTCTTCTAGAGTTCCAGTTACACTGATGCATGTTTATCCTTACAAAATCCACTCCTTAAAAATTGGCTAGGGCTTCTTGACAAGGACCAAAGGAATCCAAAGGTTAGGACCTGACTTTATAGTCCAGGGATTGGCAAACTATGGCCTAGAGGCCAGATCCAGCCTGCTGACTTTTTTGTAAAGAAAACGTTTATTGAAACACAGCCGTGCTCACTTGTTCACGTATTGTCTGTAGCGGCTTTTGCACTATGACAGCAGATTCAAGTGGTTGCAACTGAGACCATATAGCCTGCGAGGCCTAAAATATTTACTATCTTGGCCTTTAGATGAAAAGTTTGCAGACCTCTGCTTTAGTCTATGGACCCGACAGATATAAATAATACAGTGTAATATAAGATAAATAGTATTTATACATATAGTATAGTATAATATTATATAAGATAAATAGTGTTTCATTTGTCTGGTCCCCTGAAATTAATTAATGGAATGGGAAGATAAGTGAATTACTATTGATAGCAGTTTTATTTCTGCATTCCAGAAATATAACAATGACTGGTGGATAGGAAGGCTGGTGAAAGAAGGTTGTGAGATTGGTTTCATCCCAAGTCCGCTTAGATTGGAGAATATACGGATACAGCAAGAACAAAAAAGAGGACGTTTTCACGGCGGGTAAGCCTCCTTCCTTTATGTAAACTTTTTTTGGGGGGTTGAGTGAAGAAAATTAGGTGATATTTTCAAGTTTGCTTGTTGGGTTAAAAATGTATGCTTTTAAAGTGAAAGATACTTTCCTGTGTATGAGGTGTTTCTGAAATTGACACATAGGGGAACCTCTTAAACAGTGATAGGAGACTACAAAAGTACAGTTAGCTCCACTTTTTTTTTTGCTGAGGAAGATTTACCATGAGCTGACATTTGTGCCCATCTTCCTCTATTTTGTATGTGGGTCACCACCTCAGCATGGCCTCTGCCGAGTGGTATAGGTCCATGCCTGGGAACCATACCTGGGCTGCTGAAGCGGAGCAGGCCAAATACAACCGCTAGGCCATGGAGCCAGCTCCAGCTCTGCTTTTAATTATCAATCTTTTGTAGTATATAACATGCCTGTAATACTATTAATTGTTAATCCTCTTGTTGTCTCTTCTCTAGACTTTTTGTCTCTCTTGCTATTCCTTAAATGCATCAGGAACACATGTTCCTGCCTCAGGGACTTTGCACTTGCTATTTCTTCTTGCTGGAACCCTTTTCTTCACGTTTCCACCAGCTCACTCCTTCATCTGCTTCAGATCTTTGTTAAATATCACCTTCTCAATGACCGCCTTTCCTGCCACCGTGTTTAAAATTGTCCCCACTTTCCTTTCCTTCCTTCCTTCTCACTCCTGACTTAGTTTTCTCTGTTGCACTTGCTACTATCAGAAATACTATATATCTCCCTATTCATCTGTTTGATACTGCTATCTCCTACTAGAATCTGTCTTTATAAGGGTAGGGATTTTGTCTTTTTTGCCCCCTACTGTCATATTCCTAGTTTTAGAATAGTGGATACTCAATAAATAGTTGTTCAATGAAATAATAAATGAATTTTTATCATCATTTCCAAGGTTATTTTACTGTTATTATTATTATTATTCCATAGCATTATTATATACTTTTGAACTAAAAGCTTACTTTGTGGCAAGTGCAAGAGTAAAACCAAGAGCTCATAGACCTGATCTGATTTTCTCTTTATACCAACTCTGTGAGGTGTAGCTATAGATAGGGAATCTAAGGCTCAAAGACGTGATATGATGTGCCAAAGTCCCACAGCTGGTAAGCAGCAAAGCCAAGATGAGAAACCAGATTGTGCTGACTCTAGGGACCATACTGTTAAGCACCGAACAGGAGAAACAGTGGAGAAGTAGGACCGTCGGGTCCCCAGGGCCGCTGTGGGCTCTCAGGAAGCTTCCAAAACCACATGAGAAGACCAATGGAATAATCTTCCATTCTGGGAAAATTATTATTATACAAATAATATTACTTGCGACCAAATCTTTACTGTCTGTTTTTAATTCTGACCCTCACATAATCACTTTTAAGAAGAAACTCATCTTCTGGGTCTTACTGCTTGTTTTGAGCTATGTTTGACATCTGACTGGTGCATCGGTGACTGGTGTTAGCTAAGCGTGCAGTTCACAAGAATATGCCTGTCAGTGATTCTCTTGTCTGATTTCTTCATTGAATAACTTGGAGAGAGACTTTTGCAATGCATTTGCATGTCCTACTTAGTTCCCCATTTTCTCTGAGAAATGAAGTCTAAGAAAACATTTGGACAGATTCTTGAAGTTCTTCTTTATAGCAGGATTTAGTGTGTTTTGAATTATTAGTAGGATTAAGGCCAAAGAAAGCTTTGTACTCTCAAGTTCTATTTTCAAGGAATCCGGAGAATGAATCTTAAGTTCCTTTTCTATATCCTAGGAAATCCAGTGGGAATTCTTCTTCAAGTCTTGGAGAAATGGTATCAGGGACATTTCGAGCAACACCCACATCAACAGGTGAGGGTTTTAGGGAAACTCCTCTTAATGGAATGTATTCCGTTTTAGTATCTGAACATACATGAAAGTATTTTTACTAATTTGGAAACAGTTTAAAGGGTTGATTTAAAGATTCTTCTACATAGTATTTCATTGCTTATTTGCTTTTGATAGTAATTTGATTAGATTTAAAGGGTACTTGTGATACTAAAAATTCTGATTATTATAATCTAATTTTGAAAAATCTTATTTTACCCCCCAGAGGCAGTAACTGTCCATTGTGTAAACCAATCTGAAGCAAGTTCAGTATTTTACCCCAGAACCCAACAGACTTTAAGATGGTGAGGGCCAATTAAAAAGAAACAAAAAGTTATAGACTCTCAAGAAAATGCTCTATTCTAGTCTCCATGGGAAACTTTAGGATATGTTGGTACAGCCTGGGCTGTGGATATTGGCAGGGTTGAAACAGAGAATGAGGTTGGACCCGGATGACCTCATTTCTATTTGGACAGCATATAACTGAGCCCTGGAATTAATGGTAATGAAGGGACGGTGGTGGCCCCATGGGGAGTTATTGTGCATTTGGAAATTATGGAGGTATTCAAGAAGGAATTTTTCTTCCACCGCACTCCCTGATTCCTATAGGCTGATTTCATCCTGGCCCCAAATTGATGCTATGTTAGGGCATACACTATTACCAATTCAGAATGATAAGTCCAAGGTCTGTCCTGGCCAACCATAACTGCAGAAAACTGGATTGGTTCTGGAGCAGTTCTGAGTATCTGGGTCCTTGTTCATGTGAATCCTTCCTGATCTCTGGGGCTCCTGACCAAACTAGGTCTCTGGGTTGCCCCCCAAATGGACCCGACTTGCATGGATGACCACAAAACCACTTTAATCAGATACTGAGTATATTTTACCTCATCCCCACTTATTGGACATTCAGGTCATTGCAGCTTTTAAAGATTACAAACAAGAAAGAATAGGAATAACTGGTTATAAACTTATTGGAAATTAAGAACAACATATTAGGAAAAATTTGTCAATATCCTGGAAAGTAGGCGAAAAGACTTAAGAATACACAAAAGACTGCAAAATTTTCTCATTGTTCACCAAAAGTACAAATCCAAAAATAGCTAGTGATTGAGGTGAGGTGATGATCATTTTTACCCAGGTTGTTAGTCTAAGATTCCTTTTGTCAAATTTTGTGTGTCCGAGTTGTTCTCAGCCACACTGTACGCTGTGTCCAGCAGGGGAACAACCCATGGCCCATGACTGGCCCAGAACTTCCAATGTTGTTATGAAGTCCTCCCCCCCAACATGAAATCAGAATATAAGGTCATTCATACAGGGAGGGAGTCGTCTGTTTTTTCATTTGTCTTCAAAATTGGCCTTCCCAGAATAAAATAATAGATTAGCGCCCTGCAGAGTGGGTGATAGTGGAATGATGAGAATCACAGGGACAAATTGGTCCATTCTTCCATCTTTTAAAATCATGTACTATCATTTACAGAGATTACATATTTTGATATGGCTCTCATTGTTGTCTTTTAGCAAAACAGAAGCAAAAAGTGGTAAGTTGTGTTTCCTTTTTAAATCTACTGTGAAGGTTCTTATCCATATGTGCTTGCAATGCTCCATTTCAGTGACAAATGGTTATCAAATAAGGGATGAGCCTCCTGGTGGGGACCTGTAGTAATCATTTCTCGTTTGACCGGAAAATTATGAATGTTGTGGCTGTTGAAGAGGTCTGCTTATGCTTACCTTGTCACGCGTGTCCAATCGTCTTTTTCAGACGGAGCACATTCCTCCTTATGACGTTGTGCCATCCATGCGTCCGGTGGTGTTAGTGGGGCCGTCACTGAAGGGTTATGAGGTACAATTATCAGTTTGTTACACTTCAGTTCTTGATCAAGAACCCAGGAGACAGCCATTTGGAGCTTGCTCCTCCAGGGTCTGCCTACATATAGGTACCAATGGAAGCCAATTCTCACCGTGTGAAGGCGGGTGGTACACTGTGGGGCTTACGTGACTGTTGCTTTTTCTTCCCTCTCGGGCACACTCCTCATCTTTTATGTATTACATTGTTTAGAAATAGCTCCCTCAAAACATTTGTAATGGAAAGTTCTGGTCAAAGCTTTGCTCTGCATTAAATTCAAAGAAAAAGACTTTGTCTCAACCGTTCCCATTATTATTATAAATAATAGAGTATAAACAGCACAAGGGAATGTATGAGCAATCTGCCAGCATACCCAAACCCTCAAAGCACCAAAAAAATCTCACCTTGCTGGGTGCTCAAGACAATGGCAAATTCCACCAAATATTTCTCTGCTTACTTATTGTAAAGGACATATAGAAGGAAAAAAAAAACTTCACTAAAAATATTAGTGAACTTCTTCAGAGATTAACTAAACAATACCAAGTAAGATGGAAAACAGTGAAGACTTAGATGTATTACATTTCAGATGTTGCCATTTTGACTTTGTGCTGGTATAGATAAGAATAGGTGGGAGGGGACATTAAAACATAAAGGTGGGCAGCCTCCAGGGCACTGTTCCTGCTGAGCTAGGACAATGTCTGGCACAGAGCAGGCACTCAGTACACATTCGTTGAATGAATGAATGAGTCCCTTTGAGGCAGGTCTAAGAATCCCATGTCCTGCCGGCCCCCTCTCAGTGGGGAGTGTCAAAGGAACGAGCAGGAGAGTGGTCTACAGAAATCTAGACCTGGGCAGGAGGCTCTCCACCAACACACGCAGACCAGCAGGATGGCTGAGCCCAGGGCTGGCCTCAGGGCCTCTAGCTGCTCCTCACCGGAGGCAAGCACCCCTTAGGCATGCCAAGGACAGGCAGCACTTGTGCACAAAGCCAGCCTATGTGGTCTCCTGGAGGCAGTTCTGTCCCCCGATAAGGGAAGGGGATTTGCCTTGGGTCTGGTGAACACTGCTGGTTTGTTTCTCAACACTCTGAAAGAGAACCAAGGGAGAAGATTTAGAAACTGCAGGTGGTTCAGCATGAAAACTGCCGTCCGCAATAACCTACCCCTCGGAGGCCACTGGCTGTGATAAGGTCTCTCCTCAGGCATGCTGCCCCTCCCCTCCACCTCTCTCACTTTTGACTTCTCTCTCTCTTTCTCTCTCTGTGTTTGCCTCATTCTTTTTTCCTCACCTCTGCGAAGGTAACAGACATGATGCAGAAAGCCCTCTTTGATTTCCTGAAGCACAGGTTTGATGGGAGGTGAGACTTACAGATGTTTTTGTATTTTTATTTTCTTTTAACTGAACATGTATGATATATTGACTTGTGGATCTGTGTTTCCAGCAATTGCAGAAGTTCTCTAATTAAAAGTTAACTCAGTATTCAGGGCAGAACATGCTGAGAGGGCTCTGCCAATATAGCATTGAATCCCCAAGGGAAAAAGGACCTTGAGAAGAAAAGGAATGCATTTGTTTTATTTAAATGTATGTGTTTGTCTTTATTTTCTCACTTGGTAGTAGATTCATACCAACTTATTTTTATGAAAAATTTGATTAAAACATAGAACATTTCTGATAAATATGGTGGCTCACTGGTCAAGTTAGGTAATATCATTTGGGAATTGTGCATGCGTGTGTACACGTGTGTGTGTGTGTGTCATATGAAGTCATGAATATAAAGGACTGAACTTCCTGAAAAGAAGAGTACCGCAAGAAGTGTTTTAGGGGCTGGCCTGGTGGTTGAGTGGTTAAGTTTGCGCACTCTGCTTCAGCAGCCCAGGGTTTCACTGGTTCGTATCCTGGGCACGGACACGGCACCGCTTGTCAGGCCATGCTGAGGCGGCATCCCATGTAGCACAACCAGAGGCACTCACAGCTAGAGTATGCAACTATGTACTGGGGGTTTTGGGGAGAAGAAGAAGAAGGAAAAAAAAAAAAGAAGATTGGCAACAGATGTTAGCACAGGTGCCAATCTTTAAAAAAAAAAAAGAAGTGTTTTCATCATAAGCCTCCCAAAGTGACTATTTTGTAGGGGACAGTACTTTTTTGGATGTTTAATTCTGGATTGTCTTATTAGAAATTACCTTGTTATTTTATTATCTGTTTTGTGTGTATCCTATATGACCCATTATCAATATGGCCCAGTCTTTAGCCATCAGATAATTTTACCGTTTAAGTTTTGTGAAAAATGTCTAGAAAAAATTTCTGGGTTTTTTAGAGAAATGGTGAAAAGTCCATATTGACTCAATAGTAAGTACTAAGCTCTTTCACAATGCAGAATACGCTCCATGTAGAAATAGCCTCATGCAAATACTGGAAGACTTACGAGAAATGAAGAAAACTTAAATAGTGTGTATTGAGAAGTATGGGTAAATGGATCTAACTTACCAGATATTTAAGTATTTAAAAAATATCTTGAAATAGACTTTAATAAATAGGCTATTTTAAGAAAAAAAGCAAGCGCAAGGGGCCAGCTCCATAGTGTAGTGGTTAAGTTTGGCGATCTCTGCTTTGGCATCCTGTGTTTGTAGGTTTGGATCCCAGGCACAGACCTACACCACTCATCAGCCATGCTGTGGCAGTGACCCACATAGGAGGAGGATTGGCACAGATGTTAGCTCAGGGCTAATCTTCCTCAGCCAAAAAAAAAAAAAAAACAAAAGCAAACATGGTGCTTTAAGTATAAATTGTATATATTTGTCAAAAGAAAAGCCTTCTGGATAATTGTGTTAAAAATATTCATTAGTTACTGGTACTATACACAAAAAAGTAAACTGAGACTTTAGTTCAAGAAATCCAAATACCTCAGTGTCATTATGTGAATTGCTAAGTACATTAGTATAGGCCAAGCCACCTTAATAGATAGAGCTAAAGATGTATAATGATTCAAACACAATGGGAGATTTTGTTGCTCATTTAACAGTCTGAGGCAGGTGTTCCTCAGCTGGAAGTGGGGGGAGAGTGGAGGCAGAGGAGGATTGGGCAGAAAGTTTGTTCCATCCATCCTTTGGGGCCCTTGGGCTGAGGGCGGTCTCTCCAGTCAGCTGTTGGGGTGAGGAGCATGCCTGCCTAGAACTGACACACGTCAATTCTCACATTTCATTGGTTAGAACCTGGTCATGTGGCCATGCCTAATTGCAAAGGAGGCTGGGAAATACAGTCTAGCTATGCACCCAGGAGGAAGAGGAAATAGATTTTGTTGAACTAATAACAGTCTCTGTCACATTGATCTAGTGGACGAAAAGGACTTAATAAGAAAGCCACGGGTTTATCCTATTCCCCTCTTTTTTAGAGACAATAGGCAGAGAATGAATAGTTTCAAAGAAAACGAGTGGAAAGCAGTGAATACTAGAATGTTGGAGTTGGAAGGAAATGTGAAAGTTCTTTTATTGTAGTCTCTTTTCTTCAACAACCACAAAGAGATAGATGACCTGCTTTTGTTTGCAAACTTCTGGTTATTGGGAATTTGCTTCCTAAAAAAGCATTACCAAGAAACAGCTGAACTCTGGCTTTAACTTAATGGTATTGGTCTTGGTCCTGCCCCCTGATGACATGGGCTCTCCATGGGTTGGAGGCAGCTAACATGCATAGCTCAGTTTTGTGTGTTCTTGGTTGCACATGCACACTTCCTTCAGCTATGCTTGGAGTCACATGCTTTTAACCTGTGGTGCCTTTACCTAAGGAAGTTCTGAGCAGTACCTCATCCTATGGCCCCATAAAAGCCTGTGAGCTAAATAAATCCCATCCCATAATTCAGGCTAAGTTTGTGTTAGATTGTTTTGGTCTCCACATAACATCTTTATAAATAACAATGCTATTAAAGGTTGGAAAGGTAGGACCTATGGAAAGGAAGAAAGGAATTATTATAATTTAGCAAAGAGAAAGTGAGTGACTTAATTACTGCTTTCAATAATCAAGAATCTGGGCCAGCCCTGGTGGCCCAGTGGTTAAGTTCAGCATGCTTTGCTTTGGTGGCCTGGGTTCAGTTCCCGGGCGCAGACCTACACCACTCATTGGTGGCCATGCTGTGGTGGTGGCTCACATACAAAAAGAGGAAAATTGGCAACAGATGTTAGCTCAGAGCAAATCTTCCTCAGCAAAAAGAAAAAAAAAAAGAAGAAGAATCTGAGGTTCTTCTTCAATCCTCAGGCCCAGAAAGAGGAAATGCACTTAATTGTAACATCAGAGATTTGTCTTTAGTCAGGTAGAGTTGGCTGCATTAAGCGCTTACACACACTATTGAAGATGGTTTTAGTAGAAATAGAATTAAAATTTCAATGCCAGTTGTTCCGTGGGGTCTAGTGGCACAGCAGAGGCTCTAGAGATATGAAGAAGAATACAGCAGCAGCAAAAGAAATAGCTGGAGAAGGAGACTCAGCCACGGTGAGATCTGATGTACAGCAGAGTTGAAGAAAGACAGATATTAAAGGTAGGATTAGGAGAGTGGGAGTATCTTTCAAATAATAAGAGGCCAGTGCAGCAGCAAAAACAATAATGAACTCATTGGTCACACGTATGTGGAGACTTTGATAAGGAAGAAGAAATTTGTTTGTACCTTCTCACTGACTGACACGTCTGCTGTGTGGGGACTATCCTTACATTTTGAGCCATGACAATCTGCTGTATTATGTTTTACCAATTAATAAAAGGGAAGAAAACAACAAATAGTCTTTAATTGAAACCAGCCAAGAGAACAATTACACAGAAGGCTTTAGCACAGCGATACAGCATAAACAGTATGTTCTAATGGAAACCTACTCACTGTTTCATTGGCTATGAATGCAGTAGGTTAGACAAAATAGTCAGGAATAAGTCTTATTATTTTTCAGAAATGGAGAAAAAGAGATCCATTGGCTAAGAGGCTCTCTTCTTTAATATTGCTTTTCAGATCTTGGTTAAAAAATAATTCAAAAAATTGGACTGAGGTTGGACTATTACAGAATCATATGCTTGCTTTTTAATGATACCTTAGAAATGATTTGAGTCAGTTTAGAGCTACTTATTATACAATTTTATTGCTATAAATGCTATTGTAGGGCCTAACTATAATTCATGTAAGAAACATGAAAAGCACAGTACTAAATAGTTCTGAGGGACCCCTGGATAGCCACTACACGTGGCTATCCACATGTAGTGACAATTCCAGTGCACAGCTCATAAACTGAGTGACCCTAACAAGCTGCTACAATGGCACCAGCCTGGCGAGGACACAGCGAGTGCACAATGGCATGGAGCTTTTCTCTCTTCGTTTCACACCACAGACATTCAAAGGGGATCATCCTTTCGGATAAGGTTTGCTCAGCTGGTTGAATCTACCATTCAGAGGCTGAGCAGCAAGCAGTCAAACCAAGTACAATTTGTTGACCTATGCTAATCATTTCAAATCCCAACAAAGTTGTTACTTTAGGCTTTTTGACAACTGGATCAGGTCAGCTCTATGGCAGTTATCAGATGCTGGGTAACTGACATGATCATGGCCAAATATCTTAAATGAACACCCTGTAACCTATACAGAGAGAATCTGAAGCTAAAGGAAGCTATAAGCCAAGGAACACTGAAAGAAAAAAAACAGTTTGAGAAAGAATTTGAAGACAAGAGGCTGAGAATACAACTTAGGGAGACTCAAAGAGGTAGTATTTATTTATAAAAGGAAATAGGAACAATTGATGCTATCACAAAGCAGCCAGCCATGGAAAAATGAAAACAGCTTGTAATTGCAGTCAACAAATGGAAAAGAACAACACAGTGTCTTCTGTTTCATCCTCAATCTCATTCTCATCATCTCCTCCTATTCTCTATTCAAGTGCAGATCCATCAGTGGACACTCAAACACTGGAGATAATTAATTGAACACTTTAAAGCCAAACACAATATTTAAATTAGTAGGTTTTTATTACAACATGTCTGACCTGATCCTCCCACTCTCAAAGTATACATAAATTCCACAGACTCTGGAGGATAGAGGAGTTCATGGTACACTGCTAACCTTGGAGGACAGGATATAAAGAAACTGTCTCCTTCGAGTCTTCAAATCTCTAATAATTGTTTGTCTTGTATATATTATATGTATGCATATCAGCATAGAGAAGTATGAATATTTAAGAAAGCACTTTTATATATTACCTTGTTTGGTCCTATGACAATCCTGGGAAATAGTTTGGCAAAGCTACTGTCACCATTTTATTGATTAAGATACTGAGGCTCAAATGATGGCATGCCTGGTCCATGGTCACACAACCAGCAAGAGAAAGATCCAGGAAGAATACTCAGGTCTACCTAGACCTTCCCTCTCTGTTCTCTTGACAGTGCACTGTTTGTTCTTTGGAACACTTTTGTCCATGAATACCAGGACTTTTAAAAAAAATTAACATACTAACAGGGCTGCATATTAGATGCAGCAAGGATAGAGTATGGAAGGATCTTATGCCTGTTCCATTACCAAGGTGGAAATACTAATTATTATTATTATTTTTTTAAAGATTGGCACCTGAGCTAACAACTGTTGCCAGTCTTTTTTTTCCTTTTTCTCCCCAAATCCTCCCAGTACATAGTTGTATATTTCAGTTGTGGGTCCTTCTAGTTGTGGCATGTGGGATGCTGCCTCAATGTGGCCTGACAAGTGGTGCCATATCCTCGCCCAGGTTCCGAACCAGTGAAACCCTGGGCCACTGCAGTGGAACATGTGAACCTAACCACTCAGCCACAGGACCGGCCCCTAATTATTTTTGAATGAATGTGTTGTAACCAAAAGTAATATCATTCCATAGAAAATCGTGGAATACTCATAGCTAATAATATACTCATAAACTAATACTCATAGCTCATGATGGATTGTAGCAATCATGATAAATTCCAAAATGGAAATAAGCAACAGTTGGGATTCAAATTTACTAGATTTAGAGAATGATTTTTGCTAGTTTTCAGTGACATTTGCAGTCTGCTAGGGGAGTGAACTTCCACTGGCCTTTTATCTGCTGGTCAGTAACTGCTGACCCTATGTCACAGAAAGGTTTCCAAGAGAACTTTTTAGAGACATATATCAAACAAGACACCTGGAAGATAAGAGCTATGAGTGATATACCACTAGAGTATATGAGTGTGTCAAGAAAAAAAGGATATCACTTTAAGTAAAAAAAAAAAAAAAGTTTTAAAAACTAGATAGCATTTAATGGTGAAGGTGATTACATTGCTGGTGAATCTTTTACAAAAAATCAAGTTTGGATTTGGTGTCTGATTTTGATAATAGTAAGCATCTTTGCATAGAAAATAGAAACTCTTGCTCTGTCTTATTGAAAGGTTCTAGGCTGTGTCTGTTTTCTCCTGAACTCCTTCATTTTTATGCATTTTTATTAAGAAATAACTTATACTGGGGCTGGCCCAGTGGCACAGTGGTTAAGTTCGTGAGCTCTGCTTCAGTGGCCTGGGGTTCGCAGGTTCAGATCCCAGGCGTGGACCTACCACCGCTTGTCAAGCCATGTTGTGGTGGCATCCCACATACAAAATAGAGGAAGACTGGCACAGGTGTTAGCTCAGGGCCAATCTTCCTCTCTCTCACACACACACACACACACACACACGGAAAAAAACAAAAGAAAAAGAAATAACTTGTATTAACAATTTAACTTGTATTCTATTGATGAATAAAACAAGAAAACAATTGTCCATACCTTTTCCTGTTTTTAGAATATATGAAGCAGTTTTTTCTGTTTTTGTGTGTGTTACTGTTTTGTAAAACTTTGGAGGTGTTTGAAAATGGCTTTGTAAAACTATGTTTATAACCCAGAAAAAATGAGAGTGTGCATCTATTGGTGATCTCGTCAAATTTTAAGACCCAAGGGTCACTATTTGGCTTGTATAGAACTAGAAAATTTGATTTTCACTTAACCAGAATATAATTTGGGGGACCTCCAAAAGTCATTGTTCTAGAGAGTTGAATTTTCTCCCTAAACCAACCCACTTGTTGCCAGTCATATATTTGAATTGCTCTGGAACTTGACTGTATGTTTCTATCTAGCAACTCCATTCTTAAAACAACAAACAAACAAGAAACCCAGAAATACAAAAATAAACAAGCAAACCCCGTTCTGTAAATAGAAGGAGCTGTAGGAGTGCCTGTGAGGTTTCATGCCTCCAGTTGCAGCAGCCAACTGAGTAATGGAGACTCAGATGTGGGTTTCACCAGACTTTAACCTGATTTAAACCCTGACCATCTCTCAGCGCATGGCCAGGATCCCCTGACTGCGTCTGTGCTGGGTGATTCGGCTGGTATCTGGAGATTTGAGGTTGCTGGAGAAGAAAGCTGAAACGGGAAGAGATTTAATGAGTCCCATGGCTAAGTGACTGGCCTGCTGCTGGGGGCCTGGTTTTTAGACCTTTTTAGTCTCTAACCAAGTGGAACTTCGTCTCTGCATCTCAGTTTTCTTCTTGGTAAAATGAAGAAGTTGTACTTGACCAGTATTTTCTAATGTCTTTTAGCAGTTGAACACCTTTTTACACTGAAATCATATTTAAAGCCCCCAATGTAGAAAACAGAAATGCAGAGGTGTTTGCCTGGTATTGAGGGTGGGAACGCTGGAGCCCCGCCAACTCAGCCTCCTTTATGGTTCTCAGTGGCCCCTGAGGTATTTCACAAAACTCTTGGTTTCTGCAGAAGACAATTTGAAGATGCCTCAAATAATTTATTAGGGCCTAAAAACTCTAAAATATTTAAAATTTTAAAACTTCCTGACCATCTACAACTTGTAAATACAATCCAATGATACAAGCAAAGGAGTACTATGTTTGAAAATGGTACCAGAACTTTTGTACAGCCTGTTGCTTTAAAGAAGCCATTTCCAACATTTGTCTCCCCAAGGCTTCAGGTTACTCAAGTCAGATGAAGAGTCTCCTGAGAGTGCTGACAGTATTGTTCCAAAACAGGTGCGAGATGGCATATGACTCAATAATTGTTAATCATGCTACTTCTTTCGTGCTCCAACCCCTAAAGGAGTTTGAAAATGATGGAGAATGGGTGCACTGTGTATAAAAAGGAAGGGGCACTACTTTCCTTGTCTCCTTTCTGGAACTCTGCCAGGCTCTGAGGATAAGAATGGAGAAAGGCCCGTGGTGGCAGTAACTGCTTAGAGAGGCATTCTTTGCGTTCTATGGGTAGATAATAATCTGAAGTTGAGCAATCCTAGTTTAAAATAATTTTAAAGTTGTAAATTTCAGAGATTATCATTTGATAAATCATATGCAAATAGACCCCCTCTTCATTTATTTGCAGTCTTTGCTTTATTCTTCTCTTGCATGACTGTAGGATACATTCTAACTTATCAAAATCCTGGCACAATCCTCACATTGCCCTCAATGGTAGTGTCTTAGGATGGCCCACCATATGCATTCAAAGTCATATGCAAATAAGCTGAAGAATCTCATGCCTGCAGAAAAGAAATATTTTTCATATTCTTAGATATGAAACATTCCTTTGGGCCTGCAGAGAAATGCTTCAATGTATCATGAATTAACTATTGAGCACCAGGAATGCAACATAGCTACCAACTGGCTGATTGTCTTTGATGATCAAAATGAAAAGTATTTGCCCCTTTGACCAGCAGCGTTGATATGCCAGGGCAGAGCATTTGTAGTTCCTGAAGGTCTTGATCAAGAGCAAATCAACTGTGAATTGAGGGGAAATTGTATTGCTGCTTCCTAGAAAGAGCATGGATTATTCATGTGTTTTGATTCTCTCCTCGTATGGTGTGCATTATAAAGAGAAGTCGACGAGGCAGACAATAGTGGAGGAAGAACCGCACTTTTACTGGAGTAGTTTTTTGCTAAGTAGCCAAAACCTTCCTCCGTTCTGCTCTGCTTATGTTTTAATTCTAGCCAAAACCTGTTTAAAATACTTGTGGCCAATGTTTATTATACCGTGGTTGCACTGTAGTATGTAAAGTGGTTATTAAGTACTGTGGTTATAAATCACTCGGAGGGCCCCATAACATTTTTACTGGCTTGTACTGTTCTGTGTTCCTATTCGTAGGATATCAATAACGAGAGTGACGGCTGACATTTCTCTTGCTAAGAGGTCTGTCCTAAATAATCCAAGCAAGAGAGCAATAATTGAACGTTCGAACACTCGGTCCAGCTTAGGTAAGATGTTCACATGGGATGCTTCTCCAAGCTGCGCTTTCATGCCACATTGTGTTTGTGAATTTCTTTTCCAGTTTGCTCCCCATTCTGAGTAGGGATGCACTGATTAACTGAAGAAAATGCAAGCCATGGAAAAGAAGGGAGCAGAGTCCTGCAGCAGCCAGAATCTTCTCATTCTCACCTCTAGTCAGCTAGCTAATTAGTAGTCTGGTGGGAAGACTCCTCAATGGGCTCTCCTAGGCTGTTCTGCCTAACCACGTGAAACCACTCTTCTCAGCTTTGCCCAAACTTCTCAATGAGGCTGATGATATCTGTCACACCTGAGTCACAGCTGACATGACAGGAAATGAGATGTTCAGCCTTCTCAGAGCCTTAGAAGAAAGCTAGATAACGGTGTTTTTAGTGTTGCTTCTGCTGCTAGCTGGTAGTACCCAGAATAGTCACATCCTTTAAGTGGAAATAGCAACCACTGTTAATAATATGCAGGGAGTTTAAGCATATCTTTCGTGGAGTACCAGTCTGATCCTAAAATTCACCAAGATGGAGAAAGAAAAACACTGTATGTGATTAACTCCATCAAGCCGTATATGAGCAGGACTGTGGAAGATGAAATCACCATCCACAGACGTGAGTCCCTGGTGCTGGGGAATCACAACGTTCATCTCAAAAGCCTGCTTGGGGTCTCCGTGATTGCCAAGAGTGGTGGAGTCCACTTATAACTTTCCAGGAGTCTGTTCTGCATTCACATTCTGAGGGCAACTTGTTTTACTTCCCTCTTCCTCATGGGCAGAGTAGGAAAGATAGGGCTCTTCTATGCCACTACATTTGTTTAATCTACTGAAATGAGCTCTATAGATGATAGAAAACTAAAAAAAAATTAGGGTTTCCAAGATAGAGTGCATGCCCAAACATCCCATCAAGAATCCATTGAAGGCTGTGCCTTGACCCGGAGCCAAGAATTGTGCAGGTTGGAAAGAGGCCAGAAAGTATCATCTGTATATTCTTGGCACGGGATTGGCACATGGTAATAGCTCAATAAATATTTGCTGGATGGTTGCTTTGTTAAAGAATGCTGAGCATACCAAATGGAACAGTTGTCAGCTCTTGTGAGGGCAAGATTCCAGACGTCAGTGGTTCCTTCTTTAGTCCTGTATTTAAGCCTTCCACATACAGAGTGAAACACTTTTAAAGGCACAGTGTCTTGACTTTGAGGAAGAGAGAATGGCAGAGTTGGTGATAGTGAATCAGATTAGGTAACTGACTAAAGTCAAATATCATGGGTGACAATGATGCCAAGTTAGATTGAAGATTTCTCAACAAGCATTTGTTCTCTGTTCTCCTGTCTTTCACCCTTCTTCTCATTCCTCACAATGCCTTTGGCTTTTAACCACTCCTTCCTCTGATGTATAATGAGAGGCTAAAGGACGCTTAAAAGATAAGCTACGTTGCGTGATTTCAGTCTGCCCCAGCCAAGGGTTTCATGGATATTCTTTGAAGTCATTCTGTAAAATCTAGTCACCTGTTGTCAAAGTCAGTGGGGTGGATGGGGTGGGGTTAGTATAAACATCGAGGAAGAAACAAGGTAGATGTCAGTTCACTGGTTTTCCCCTTTACTCTGTAACTTCATGTACCCACAGCTACTGGGGTTAATTCAATGGCAATCTATTATTATAACCATTATGGGAGCCACTTATGTCCATTTGCCTGCCTTTTGTAGATCCCTTTACAAATGTTTATTGAACCCTTGTTACGTGCCATGCATTATGCCAGACTTAGGAAGTACAAACACAACTATGACAAAGGATCTTACCCATGGGCAAACAGAAAGAAAGGACAGATGGTTAAAATACTGTGTGGTAATGGAATTAGGGGCAAAGTACTAGGGGCGTAAAGAAAGAAGGGTAGAGAGTAAGAGGTATCTGAGAAGACTTCACAAAAGTTATATTTAAACTGGTTCTTCAAGGTGGACAAGAATGTACAAAGGCATTGGTATATAAAAAAACATTGTGTTGTTGAGAAACAAGTAGTTTGTGCATAACATGCTTAGAGAAAGGGAGTTGAAGGCATGGTTTGAGGGCAACAGGAGAAGAGACTGAAAAAGTAGATTGGGGCCAGTGTGTTGGGGCTCTAGTATGCCTTGCTGAAGAGACCTTCAAAATAGATTCCATGAAATGTTAATTTTAAAAGATGCTAATCGTTGTTACATCCATATTGTTTTCCATGGTCAAATAAATTTGGAAATTATGAATTAAATGGTTGGAAGGTTGCTTCAGTGCTAGACTTCTTAGAGCCATTAAGATACAAAGGGTAGGGGCTGGCCTGGTGGTGTGGTGGTTAAGTTTGTACACTGTGCTTTGGCAGCCCGGGGTTCACGGGTTCAGATCCTGAGCATGGACCTACACACTGCTTATCAAGGCATGCTGTGGAGGCATCCCACCTACAAAATAGAGGAAGATTGGCTCAGTGACAATCTTCCTCAGGCAAAAAGAGGAAAATTGGCAGCAGATGTTAGTTCAGGGCCAATCTTCCTCACCAAAAAAAATAAGTAAATAAAAATACAAAGGGTAATGCACATTTGAAATTCCAAGAGAAACCATTATAGTATGCAGTATTTCCCTTGCAGAAAACCCCCTTCTTCCCATAAGATATCTTATGGGATTACTGTTGCAGGGTACACACTTTAGGAAATGTTGCTTTGAGCTCTAGGGAGCCATTAAAGTAGTCTAAGCGTTTAGATATAAGAAAGATCACAAGTGACAGAGATGCTGGAGAGCAGTTGGTCCAGATTAGTTGTGGTCAAGTTATAGAAGTGTTCATTGAGATCCCTCCACTATCATAGTCCATGCCTTCTCAGAGCTCCATTTATCTGGAATAAGATCATGATGAAACCTCCACTGGAACCCTTCTGAGAATCAGCCTGGTAGTCAAGCTTGTTGGATGTGTTAAAGTTTTCCCTTAAGAAAATGAGCTATGTAGATAAATATGCCTTTCTCTTTCTCACACATTGAATTACTTACTGCATTCTATATGCATGTTATTCAAATATTGAACCCACTCCAGTATTTCGTGTGATCCTCTGCAGCCTCCTGGTTTGCAGTGCCCGAGCATCTCTCTGCTCATGCCAGAGTTCTCATTGCCCAAGAGTTTTCTGTTGGTTAAGCAGTAGGTGTGCCTGCCCTCTGAAGCTGTCAGAAAGCACACTTACCTCATTGCTGGTGCAGAGTAAATAAGGCCCAGGTATTTCTGAGTTACTTATGCAGAGACTCAGAGTGCCTCAAGGGTTCTTTGTACAAGGGCAGTCCAGTCTGGGTCACTGCCTTTTTGCTATTTCAGAAAATATTGTGTTCAGATTTGAAGCTTAAAGCAATATAGACTTGCTGCTCTAGTGTATTGCTGGCTAGGCGCTCCCTTAAACTAGTGGCAGTTTTAATGAAAACAACAAATGGAGGACATACCGCAACAACCTGAGGCTGAAATGTACTATAATAAAAATATTCTTTATTTTCCAAACTTTTCTCATAAGAAATTTTTTTTTAACTTTCTGACATGCAAGAGAAAAGGGAGAGGTATATTATTATTACCAAGAAATGTAGAATATGATTTTAGATGAATTTTGCAAATAAGGCTAATTGCCCAAATTCTTTACATTGATATCTTGAAAGCTAGTCACCTTTTAAAGCAACATGAAATCTTTCAGCTCACTGGTATTGGATAATATGAAAAATGGTAGATTTGTTGACTCTTTAAATTCTTACTTCTAATATAGATTATGCATTAAACATCAGTGATTTTGTGGGAAATAAGAATTTTATACTACTATGCAATGCCCAAGAAAATAGAGTTACGTGATAGTCTTGAGCATTCATGATCCCACATACCCTGTCAATCTGTTTGGTTCTGGAAGGGAGAGCTTTCTGGTAGGTGACGTGAACTTGAATTCATGCTGGATAAGCAAGAGAAATCATGGGGTTCTGGTACGAGCCCTTTCCAATGAGAATATTTAGAGCAACGTAACCTTTTTTCCTAGGCCATCTTTGAAGCAATTTAAATTAGGTAGCTTTGTCTATTCTGTGTAACTTGGATGGGATTACATTGTTAGGTCACACGTACAGCCAAAAACAAAAGTAAGTAAAATGCAAAACAAAAGCATCTCTCTGAAAATTAAATAGTCTAATTCAGACTTTGGACATAACCAATAAGTCAGGTGATTTATAAAATATATATATAAAAGCTTTTTATATTTCAGAAAGCCATATTATGTTTTTATAGGTAATCTATTTTGCTTAAAAAATAACTGGATTGCTTCAGACATTGAAAATAACTAGATTTTTTCATTTGAACAGATTTGGGTCACTTGGCTATTACAGCCAGCCAGATAGATTTGCATCGAAGTGCATTGCAGCATTTTAATATAATTGGTCTTAGTTTTGTTGTTTTTAAATACTGAAGATAATTATGCCTTAGAACAAGTCTACTGGCCCTAATACTTCACTTAAAACCTAGTAATATGCTGACTGTAAGAGTAGACCCAGAATATTTAACCAGGGATACAAAATGTGCCTATCAGTCAAAACAGATGAGTTGTGGGAAGTTTTTTAAACATATCCACAAAATATTAATATGTAAGTTGTTGATTGGTGGAAATATTTCAGTGTGATTTGCTTTCCATGTGCTGTTGCTCTGTACATGTATTTCAGTTGTTTCCTCAAAGGTAGTTTCAGCTTCCATAGCTAAAATAAAAGTTCTTTAGAACAAAGCCACAATCAAAAACAACATAGCTATATAAATAGCTAAATATTAGAGTGAGTGTAAGAAGCAAATCAAGAGAGCCATCTCAATTTTTTCCACCAGCTGTTTGATTTTGTGCAAAACTCAATACATCTCTCTTTCTTTAGAAAAGATCTTAAGTTAGATAGGACCATGAAAATTCAAAATGTTCTGTTTTGCAGTGTAGACAAATATCATAAAGGGGTACTATTTTTTAAATATAAGAACTCATTAATAAAGATAACCGTGACCTGTTCTTTATTTCTTCTCCTTTTAGCGGAAGTACAAAGTGAAATTGAAAGAATCTTTGAGTTGGCAAGATCTTTGCAGCTGGTCGTTCTTGATGCAGACACCATCAATCACCCAGCACAACTTATAAAGACTTCCTTAGCACCAATTATTGTCCATGTAAAAGTCTCATCTCCAAAGGTAATGAGCTCATTTCTGCCTTAAGGATTAGAAGCTCATTTTTTTAAAAATATTCTTTGCTCTGTGCGTTTTTATTAGTGGGCAATGAGAAGGTCTTGTTGAAACCCTTTTAATGAGCACAGTTTTGAGTTCCTACAGTTGTTACAGACTCTAGAAATTGAGATAGCAAGTAAAGAATAGCCCATTCCTTCAAGAAACTATTGTGACCCCACCCCAACCAGGCAGTTATGCAAGAATATAATAGAAGCAAAGAGTTAAGAAAGGTGAGGAAAAGTGAAATCTGGCTTTTCGGAGACTTTAGGTTCTATCTTGGTAAGTTTCTTGGGTAATATTGATTCTTGTATCACCTATATTCTCTCCCCAGTAGAGAAAGTACAGAGTTCAAGGAAGGTATCTGTATGTATCATATATAAAGTCAGACATCACTGTGTAAAATCTCTTACAGGAATATTACAGACCCTCACATTTATGCTTAGGTTGGATCCTTACAGGGATAGTTATTCCATCATTAAGCACAATGGGGTATTTGCCATGTATCTTGATGCCACGAGGGGAGATCAAAATAAAAGTGAGACAGCCTCAAATTGGTCTCTTTTGATTTGGGCATTGTTTCCTTTTTAAAAAGAGATGATGTTCTAAAAAGTTAATATGAAATAGATAATCTTGGAAAGTATGACCTAAATAATCAGTTTCTTTTCAGTGCCTCCAAGAGTCCATTTTAGTGCTTAAATGCCACTTCAACTTCCAACCAGAACAGTAGTCTCCTCTCACAGGTGGAGAATGTCTAAAGAAGCTATGCCCTTCCCAACCCTTCTAGTGTCCTCAGATCTTCCATCTCTTCAGGTGCTGGTTCTGTGCAGGATGAGCTGAGGAATCCTGGCCAAACCAGGACCTTTTGGGATTCATTAGAATGGACTGAAATTGCCCTTGACCACTTGGAGGTCTCTTTGACTTAGAGCTGAAGGGATTCAAACACCTTCATTGCAGTGGAGTAGATGTCAGCCCCTTGCATCCCCTGCCCTAGTTGCCATGAGGTCCATAAGTGTAGGAATGTGGACTCTTGTGGACATATGTGCTGAGGTATCATAGATTCTCACAGACTAGTACTGTTGTGGGGAGTGCCCTGTTGCAGCTTAAAAAAATCTAAGGGAGAGGGGAGTATATGGCAAAACGCAGTTACAGCAGTGCCCAAAAGACATGGATATATCACTGGTTTATATATAGCAATACACCCAGTGCAAATGTTCTGCCTAGGTTTCTATCATGAAATTGTCTTATTAATGTAAAATTAAACTGGAATGCCCCAGTAATTATCTGTGACAAAAAGGACCAAATATATGACTCTGATATTTATCTGACATTGAGATAGTGAACCAAAATATTACTCATCTGAATTTGGACATAAATGACCTGGTACAGATCAGTTCCTCCACTCTTGCAGGGCTCTCTTTGAAATCTCTGGGTAAAATCTAGGGCAGAAACCTAAGATCTCACCACGACCTCACATAGAGCGAGCGAGAATAGGATGAACATATCAAATCCACTATAACTGAAAGCCAGTGTAAGTGGATGATGTCATATTATATATATGATTTGTCATACATATATGTCCTCTCTGTTAATACTCAGGCCTAAACAGGCTATCAAAAAGGTCGTGTTTATTTGGGTTTTTTTTCAGCTCGTTGACAGTATCTCAGATTCATGTCTTCTTCTACTAGGTTTTACAGCGGTTGATTAAATCTAGAGGAAAGTCCCAAAGTAAACACTTAAACGTTCAACTGGTGGCAGCTGATAAACTTGCACAATGCCCCCCAGTAAGTATGGTCATTATTTGTCTTAATCATTATTGACTAGTTAGTAGAGAGCGGGTTTTTTTTCATATTAGCATTGTCATTTTTATCCTAGAATGATGGTGATGATGGTATGTTGTCATAAACCTAAGGGATTTCTTGGCACAAACCACTGCTGTTGTGTTGGCTACACTCGGGCATCCTGAACTGGGTGGTTCTACCATGTAATAAGGAATGAACTTAGTGTCTGGTGTTCAATGTCCTTACTGCTACCTTGACTACCTTGCAAACACTCAGCAAACTACTTAATCCAGTCATGTGGACACTTTTATGAAAAGAAAAGAACAACTAAAACATACTGATTTGACTTTCCTCTAACTTTCTGCCAGAAAGTTCTGATGGGCATAAAAGATTATGACACTGAAGGCTGAGAATTTATTGGAACTAGAAGGACCCTGTGGTTATAGCAGATGAAGAGGTCAGGGTTAAGTAAGATGAAAAACCATGTTATAGCAACTTTTCTACCACTGCCATTGCCAGAAAACAGCTGCTGAGTTGGAAGCCAAGCAAATGGTGGGAGGTGGGTGGTGGTAACTGCTATTGCGTGGATCACCAGTGGCATCTCAGTGTCTACACCTGCTCAGCTGACTTAGTATTTCTGTGCCTGTGTTTCTCTAAGGGAAATAACTGTCTTTCTTACTGAGTTGATTTACTGGAATTTTTATATGCTTTTGTAAGGATCGTTGATGCTCTGTAGAAGCATAAAATCCAATTCAGATGTTTAGAGAAGCAACACAGCATAGCTGTTAAAAGTATAGACTCTGGAGCCAGACTGCCTGGGTTCAGATCCGCGCTAATCCACATGAGGGACTACATTCCTAGTTATGTAATCTTGAGCAAGTACCTACCTCGCTGGGTTGGTATAAAGAGTCAGTGAGTGAATATGTGGTAAAACTCTTAGAACAGGACCTGGCACCTAATAAGCACCATCTAAGTGTTTCAGTTATGATTACTGGATGTAGTTTGTGCTGTGCCATGCCTAACCTGTCAGGCTCTGTAAGGATCCGTGCCTGTCTGGTTCACTCTTGTATCTCAAGTTCCTATCACACTAGGCCCACAATAAATATTTATTGACTGACTGAATGAATGAAAGGATGTACAGGAAGTAAGAGTAATAATGCATCCTTTTATTAGAGGCTTACAATGGGCCAGACACTGTGCTAGATGCTTTACATAGATTATCTCTAAACCTCACAGTTACCTAGTAAGATAGGCAGTATTACCCCATTATATAGTCGAGGCAACTGAAGACAGAGAGGTTAAATGATTTCCCTAAGGTGCCGCAGCAAATGAGGATTAGATTTAGATCCATCTGGCTCCAAAGCCAATTTCCTCCCCTTACAACCCCTCCCTCCTATTCACACCCATACACACCTGGTTGCCTGCCTGCAGATAATTTGGATAGCTTAGAGTCTGGAGTGCTCTGTTAAGAAGTCTGACTTTACATTGCCTACTAATGAAGTCCACTTACACAATGGAATGCATGATTAAAACACTGAGCGAACACAGAAGAATGTATTACCTAGTCTCTGTCTCTATAATGCTGCCCAGTTGAAGGAAGCTAACCTTTATTGAGCAGCTACCAAAAGCCAGGAACTATGCTACTCTCTCCAGTTTTTGGAACAATCCTATAAGGATAGTTGTACCAGTTTGTTAGTGTTCTGGGAAGCAGACACCTAAATGGAATTAGAAGTGCAGATTTATTGGAGAAAATGTCTGTGAGAGATAAAAGGGAAAAGGGACAGAACAGACAGGGAGAACCCTCAGACCTGATGCAGTTCTGATCCAGTGAAAGGAAAGGGGAATGGAAGGAGAAATGGGTAGGAGGAGCCTCAGACTGTGATGCTGCCTTAAGAAAATCTCAGTCACAGAGATGGGGATCCCCAGAGCAAAGATTGCCAGTTAGAGGAGTCTCGTGTTGGGCAGAAATGTCCCAGCTTTAGTCCCCATGCTGTGCTCAGTCTCCGGCTGGGAGCAGCCTGGAGAGAGAAGATGGGCTGGGCTTGAATGCTGTTGTGGGTCCTGAAGGTGCGGCATCAGGAAGCTGTCTGCTGACTGCGCTCATCACAACGGGTTCTCCCTCAAGGGGAAATCATCTGGGCATGCCTCTCTATGACCACCATGGTAGATAACATTCTCCTTGCTTTCTAGAGGAGAGAGCTGAGTCCTCAGTTTAGAAACTTACTGGAGCTACTGTAGGGGAGGAAGAGAAATCCTGATTCCGTCTAGATTTTGGAAGTGATCAGCACAGAGATATTATTGAAACCACGAGGGTTGTGGAGCCCAGGGAAGAGGAAAGTATAAAAATAAGCAGAAGATGTATCAAGTCAGGTGATAGCCTCATTGTTTCAGAACATCATTAAGATCAGATACTTCTACAGAACGATGTGTGGCCATGTCTGAGGACGCGGTATCTGTGTCTCCATGTGGTTAAATCGGACAAAGTCAAAATACTTAGTCATCTCAATTCAGTGTGGCTCACCTACAGTCAACCCTCTTGGCAAGAACTAAAAGACATTCAGCAAACATTGTGTAAGCATTAGGCCTTGTACCTTGCTAGGTCCAAGGGAGACAGAGGCATATTCATGCTTTCAAGGAATATATAGTCTAATAAGATTACAGTTCGCTAAATCAACTCTTGGCAAACAATTTGGTAGATCATAAGTAAGCTTACAGATATTACTTTGTAAATTTCTTATGAATTAAAAGAGTGGTTTAGGTCAGGGTTCCTCCATCTCAGCACTATTGACATTTTAGATTGGATAATACTTTGATGTGGGGAGGGGGCCTTTCCTGTACATTGTAGGATGTTTAGCAACATCCCTGGCCATTAGCAACCCCCAAGTTATGACAACCAAAAATATCTCCGTACGTTGCCAAATGTTCCCTGGAGAAAAAATATCGCTCCTGATTGAAAACCACTGGTTTACATTAATATATACACAAGTTTTGGGCAATAATGTTATAAGAAGTGTCATTGAGTAATTCCTTGAGATGCATTTTAGTTGAATTGAACTTGTTTCTTTTTAATTTAATCTTTGTATGAGAATGGTTTATTAACATTTATTCCTAATAGTTACTAGAGAAAATACTTGTGTTCTATTAAAATTGAAGTAGCTTATTTTATTTATTTTTTTTTTTGAGGAAGATTAGACCTGAACTAACATCTGCTGCCAATCCTCCTCTTTTTTTTGCTGAGGAAGACTGGCTCTGAGCTAACATCTGTGCCCCTGTTCCTCTAGTTTATATATGGGATGCCTGCCACAGCATGGCTTGATAAATGGTGTGTAGGTCCGCACCCAGGATCCGAACCAGTGAACTCCGGGCCACTGAAGCGGAACATGCAACCTTAACTGCTGTGCCACCAGGCCGGCCCCAAAATTGAAGTATTTTAGCTGCTGAGAGGGTTGATCATTGGGTAGTTGTGTGTATAGTACAACTTGTTACATCTGAAATAGCTGGAACCAAGAAAAGACACATGCCTTCTGAAATGCAAATATTACTGCAAGATGCTTTAGGACTTGTCCCCGTATCAGGAATTTCAGCCAGCCTCCTGCACTAGGAAAACAGCCTTGCTCTATCATTATCTTAGCAGAATAAACAATTCCTTGTTTTATATAATTGGTCAGATAACAAATTTTAAACAAGCAGTCTGGATCCACAAGGTTACCTTGTATTTAATATTTTCTAAACACTGTTTACATTATTAAACATATTCATTTGATATTGTGTGAATAGCATTTGTAATGCTAAGAAGGTATCATACACTCTCTTTTGGCACGTGTGAAGAAATCTTTGGCTGATAAAAACTAGCAGTCATCTAAAAATGTGTCTGCATTTGTCCCTACTTTACTTCAAGACCATAATTATAATTGTCATCTGAAGACTGGTGATCACTGTGTCATTTTAGTTCCTCTAGGAGAATTTGCAACTTCCTTAATTGGCCACTGCATCTCCAGTCTGAAAAGTCAGCAGATTACACTGGCAGAGTCTCACATTGCTAAGAAATTAAAGGCAGCAGTCTTTAGAAAGGGAAATCTAAAAGTACCGAAAAAAGTTAACTCTTGGGGCCGGCGCCGTGGCTGAGTGGTTGAGTTCACGCACTCCGCTTTGGAGGCCCAGGGTTTCACCTGTTCAGATCCTGAGCGTGGACATGGCACCGCTCATCAGGTCATGCTGAGGCAGCATCCCACATAGCGAAACCAGAAGGACTTACAACTAGAATATACAACTATGTTCTGGGGGGCTCTGGGGAGAAGAGGAAAAAAAACCCACGAAGATTGGCAACACATGTTAGCTCAGGTGCCAATCTTTAAAAAAAAAAAGTTAACTCTCTGTAGCCAGAAGGATGAATCCTAGACTCAGGGACTATGGAAGCGAAAAGAGATCTTGAGAGAAGCCAGTATAGTATTTCCTGGAGTGTGTTCTTTCCAATACCGGTTCCCTGTGATGTCAACAGGTGTTATGAAGAAAGAAGCTTGATATCAAAAATGTTTGAGAAGACACTTGTGCAGACAAAGGTAGACTTGTTTCTTTACTGCAGAAGCTTTAATATACTCATGAGCATTTGACATCTCCACTAGGATAGACAGTGTGCAGTGCTTCCTCTAAATTTTGAGTATAGAACCATTTTTCCACAGAGCATCCTATGGGTCTAATGTTTCATGGAACACTTCTAGGGAAAGACAGATCCAGTCCAACCTCCTCATTTTACAAATGATGGAACTGAGACCAAGAGAAAGGAACTGGCTTTTCAAAGGTCACATGCCTTGGCCAAAGTCAGTGTAGGATCTCTGTCTCCGAATCTAGCAAGACTTTAGATGGTGAATGGTGACAGGCTGGTTGTGATATATTCTCCTGGAGAAAGAATCACGAGTTTCATGAGTAAGGCATCTTCTAAGGGAGGGGGTCAGCAAACTTTTTCAGTAAAAGGCCATATAGGAAATATTTTAGGCTTTGTGGGA